CATTAGGTGCTTTCAAATATTTGAAAGATAGTTGAAAATATTCACATATCCCTTGAATATTAAATGAATAAATGAATGAATGAATGAATACTCTCTCAAATCCAGGTCACGTTTGCCATCTAACCTGCTGAATGTTCCTAAACCTCTTTCCTGTCAGTACCTTCTACTTGTTTGCTCTGGGAAGCACAACCTTTGGCATTCAGCACTGATCAACATGCCTTTTATGTGGTTCTGGTTTCACGTTCTCTCTCTTTCCTGCTAGCATCTAATCAAACATTTTGCATTTTCTTTCTTTTCTTTCATGTGCGTGTGTATGTATGTGTGTGTCTTTTTTTATTGCATTTTAGGTTTTGGGGTACATGTGAAGAACATGCAAGATTGTTGCATAGATATACTCATGGCAGTGTGATTTCACCCATGCTGGAGTACAGTGGCAGGATCACAGCTCTCTGCAGCGTCAATCTCCTAGGCTTAAGTGATCGTCCCACCCCAGCCTCTGGAGTAGCTAGGTCCACAGGCCTATGCCACCACACCCAGATAATTTTAAAATTCTTTTTTATAAAGAGAGGGTCTCCCTGTGTTGCCTAGGCTGGTACTGAAACTCCTGGGCTCAAGTGATGCTCCTGCCCTCAGCCTCCCAAAGTGTTGGGACTGCAAGTATCAGCCATCATTTTCAGCCCATTTTTTTTAAATAAAAAGGGCTCCAATTACAATTAGTTTATACTTCTTACATTTCACCTGTGTTACAATGCTTTTTGGTCTGCCTGCTCTTTTACTTTATGAGACTGAAAAGTCTTGTTAATTATTATATTTTCAAAACCCAGTAACAGTACCTGCTTATATCATATATTTGCATATTGTATGCTCAATAAAAGTTTCTTGTATTCTCATTTACATCCTTGTAACAGCTATGTAAGGTTTTCTGTGTGTATGAATATTTTCCTCATTTTGTAAATTCAGAAACTGGGGCTCAAGTTATTAAGATTTGTTTCCCCTAAAGTCTCCTTCCTAATAAACTACAGAGCAAAGGCATTTGACTGAGGCTTTTATCCTCCACAGCATTATATTACCACTTTCCTCAACCCTTCTTACCCCCTTCATTCTAGAAATCAATCTACTTCATGTCACAAAGAAATATGAGGTTCTAGCATCTATAAGGAACTTAACCAAATTTACCAAGAAGAAACGAAGAATCCAATAAAAAGATAGGCAAAGGACGTGAATAGACACTTCCCAAAAGACATGTGGCCAACAAGCATGTTTTTAAAAAGCACAACATCATGATTACTAGAGAAATGCAAATCAAAACCACTATGAGAAACCATTTAACACCACTCAGAATGCTGTTATTACAAAGTAAAAAAATAACAGATGCTGGCAACATTGTGGAGAAAAAGAAACACTTATACACTGTTAAGCCATTATGGAAGACAGTGTAGTGATTTCTCGAAGACTTAAAGATGGAAATACCATTTGACTTATTACTGGGTATAAAGGTTGCTGAGAGAAAGCAGAATAGACCCAAAGTCAGGCAAGCAAGTTTTATTTATCTGAGGGGCTGCTCTGTAACAATCAGAGGAGGCTTGCCTGAGCTTATAAAATGAGAGGTTTATATGGGGTGAAAGGAGAATAAGGGAGTTTTAGGACTGAGATAATCTATCCACTGGTAACAGGCACAGAGATAGTTTGTTAATTTATAACAGACTTATATTACATCATCCTGTGACTTTTGTGGTGGCAGTCTTTTAAAAAAAGGAGAGAAACCAGGAGTTTTTTTTTTTTTTTTTTTTTTTTTGAGACGGAGTTTCGCTCTTGTTACCCAGGCTGGAGTGCAATGGCGCAATCTTGGCTCACTGCAACCTCCGCCTCCTGGGTTCAGGCAATTCTCCTGCCTCAGCCTCCTGAGTAGCTGGGATTACAGGCATGCGCCACCATGCCCAGCTAATTTTTTGTATTTTTAGTAGAGACGGGGATTCACCCTGTTGACCAGGATGGTCTCGATCTCTTGACCTCGTGATCCACCCGCCTCGGCCTCCCAAAGTGTTGGGATTACAGGCGTGAGCCACCGTGCCCGGCATTTTTTTTTTTTTTTTTTTTTAACAGATATGTGTTAAACAGGAATTTACAAGAATGGGTAACCAACCTATGTTTTCCCTCTCCTCCCTTGAGCTGCCCAGAGGGCTGTAATCAGGCTTTGCTTAATTGCAGCACATCTGGCAGCCTTGGTGTGGCACCTAGGGAGGGGTTCAGGAATGTAGCTGCAGAGCAATCAGAGGGAGGGAAGGGGTCAGCCTGCATGGAGGGGGTTTTCTTATACTTAACACTGGATATATACCCAAAGGAATATAAATCATTGTACTGTAAAGATGCATGCGTTGTGTGTTCATTGCAGAGTGATTCACAATAACAAAGACATGGAATCAACCTAAATGCCCATCAATGATAGAATGGATAAAGACAATGTGGTACATATACACCATTAAATACAATGCAGCCATGAAAAGGAACAAGATCATATCCTTTGCAGGGCATGGCTGGAGCTGGAGGCCGTTATCCTTAGCAAACTAACACAGGAACAGAAAACCAAAACTGCACGTTCTCACTTATAAGTGGGAGCTAAATGATGAGAACACATGGATACATAGAGGAGAACAACACACACTGGGGCCTTTTGGAGGGTGGAGTGTGGGAGGAGGGAGAGGATCAGGAAAAAATAACTAATGGGTACTAAGCTTAATACCTGGGTGATGAAATAATCTGTGCAACAAACCCACATGAAACAAGTTTACCTTTATAACAAACCTGCACTTGTAACCCTGAAATTAAAAGTTAAAATAAACAAATAATAAAATAAAATAAATACAAAAGGAAATATGAGGTTCTGAACTCTTTCACTTTTCTGTCTTTTTTCCTGGAAAATTAGTGCTCCTTCCTTCTAGTCTAAGATTAAGAGACGTAATTCCAGTTTTCCCAGCTCAGTGAAGGGTGTCTTTTTATCAGTCAGCTATTTCTTTTTGTTTCCACACTTTGGACCCCAAACTTGAGGGTCCCCAGTCTTTTCTAAGTACATTGTGCTCTTTTCTGTCTCAGTTTACTATTCTTTCTGGCTTGAATGCCTTTTTTTTTCTTTGCTTTTAACACTTGGTCAACTTTCAGAGCTGGAAGGAAACATCACCTCTTGCCTTTCCACAAAGGAGGGAATAATGATTGACTCAATTTTATGTCTATTCTATACACTGTGCTGTCAAAGCATGCAAAATATATATTGCATATACATTTTTCTTTAATCTCTCTGAAGGCAGGGGTTATATCTTTGGCATTTATTTGTCATTGAATAGGTATTCAGTAAATGTTCACATTCATGATCCACTTATTTTTATTATGGCCAATGATAAAGTTCTGGAGGTAAAATGTCCTGTGTTGGTGGTGATGAGAGAAATCTTTGCATATCAACTATCTTCTCTTCCTGTACTGACGAATTTGATATTTGGTCTACTTTAATATAATCTCTAAAAAAGACCTCTTCCCCTTCATTTGTGTTTAAGGAAGCAGATGAATTCTTACTAAGACAAAGTACATAGTGCAAAATTTAGCCAGTGCTTCAATGACATATGAAAAAATATGCTAAAACATGATTTTTCCATTAATGTTTTAATCTGTAAATATGATGGTGTTTTTAGGTTGTCAACCCATAATATAACACAGAAAGTTATGTCATGAACCCAAACTTAAGCTTGTTTGATTACATTTTTAAGAGCTAGAAAAAGTTTAAATGCTTAAGTATGTATTAGATACCTTTTTTTAATACCAGACCTTAATTTTGATTAATCATTTCATAATTTGATTTTACCTTTTCTCTCCTGCTTTACAGACTGACATTCACTACTGCTAATAACCATTCTTTATTTCTCCACTTAGCAGTTCAGTACCAAATCCCCCACTTACTGCTGTAAGATTAGTATAAGCTAACTTTAGGATTGGTTTCTGTCCCTTTGTGAAGTATATGTAAGTTCTAAAATATAGCTTTCTGTGGCTATGTCTTTTTTTGCTGCCTGATCTTTGTTTTGGTTTGTATTTCCTGCCTAGGCCTATGAATTTTTACCCTGTTTCCTCCCTGCATTTCAAACCTGTTGCCTACAGCTAAATCCACATGATAACCTCCTACCCAGGGGTGTATCAATAGACACCCACAGCTGGCTTTATCCTGTTTCTGTTTCCTTTCCTTTGGTTTTCTTTCAACCCTTAGCTAGTTCCTTGAGTTATAGAGGAGGAGTATTAATTGCTTCCCAAGTGGGCCCTGAGCCCATTCCTCTTAGCTATATCCTGTAACTTTTTGGGTTCAGAGAAGCTTTCTTTCCTTCCTGTGACTTGCCTACATTAAAAGAGATTTATGCAGATCTCCATTAGTCATTCATTATTGCCATATTCTGTCTTCTCAGGAAAAAAATGTTCCCTGAGAAGCATGCATCAGACTCATTCCTTTCTTTTTTCTGCTCATTATTGAGGCCTAATTATCTTCAAATCATTTTATATTTATGTTAATTCCATTGTGTGGCAGGTCTTTAACCCAAACCTCTTTGTTAAAGCAACACAATGTTTCCTCCATGGTATTCTCAGAAGGGTCTTTGACATTCAGGTTTTTTGCCCATGAGATGATAAGTGGTTTCTATTCTTAGAAACTAGAGCAACAAATACTATATTATGGTACCATTAAATACTTCTACTGTTTCCCAGAATGTCCTATCCTTCTATCAGACTTCATATAAACAGACAAAGTCCAGGATGAAGAATTAGGCCAGAACTCAATGGAAGAATCAAATGTCCATTTCTAATTAAACTATTGCAATAATTTAGCAAAGGTAAGAGGGTACCTTGGACTAGGGTGGTATCAGTAGTAGTCTGAAAAATGATTGGATTTTGGATATATTTTGAAAGGAAAGCAAATCATCCATGAAACTATACTAATTGTTCCTCTGCTATTCCTTTTTCTCTCTTTTTAGTTTCGCTATTCAAATTGGCTTGACAAGTTTTATATGGTGGTGGGAACTTTGTCTGCCATCATCCATGGGGCTTCACTTCCCCTCATGATGCTGGTGTTTGGAGAAATGACAGACACCTTTGCAAATGCAGGAAATTTGGAAAGTCTGTACTCAAACATCACTAATACAAGTAAGTATTATTTGTGTACCAATTTTATTGGAAACTTGAAGCAAAAACAATCACTTAGAGTGATGTTTGTGGATTCTTTACTAAATACATATTAGCGTCTGTAGTCCTGTAGGAGGCAGATGGTCTGAGCTATAGTTCGTATCTGTAATGAGTTGGAAAAGATATTATTTACAGGCATTAGAACACACGATGGAAGTGCCAGCAGAGATATGTAGAAAAAGAGAGAAGTCTGTGAAGTCAGAAATATTTTGGAAAGCTTCAAGAAGAAATATAGGAACTTAATTAGAACCTTGAATGATAAGTAGGAATCGTTTGTGCAGTTTCCTGACAGGTTGAATATGGGTGTAAGAGGAAAAGCCCGGATAATTCTAAACTTTTTAGGCTTAGAAACTTGAAGGATGCAGTTACTATCAACAGAAATGAGAAATGGAGAAGAAGAGTGGGTTTGAGCAACAAATACCAGAAATTTAGTTTTGGACATCATTATATGTTGGGCTCTCTGGAAGCAGATGCAGGATGAAGTGGGGCAAAATTTGTGTGTGTGTGTGTGTTGTGTGTGTGTGTGTGTGTGTGTGTGTGTATGTGTGTGTGCACCTGTGTGGGTATTTTAGGATAGGATAAGTAATAGCTTGTAGCTTGTTTTGTATGTTAATGGAAATGATCCAAAAGAAAGGAGAAAGTGATGTTCGAACAAGAGAGAGAAGAAATTTTGCTAGGGTGATGTCCTTGAGAAGAATGGAATCCAATACTGAGGAGGAAAACAATAACAGGTTGGAAACGTGAATTTGAATGTCAGTACCCAGTGGTGTGTATATGAGGAGGTGAGAATCTGTGGAAGTTTTCTTCTGTTAACTTTAGTTTTCTCAGTGAAGTAGGAAGCAAGACAATTGGCTGATAGAGACAGATAAAAGAGATGTAACATAGCTCTCTAGGAGAGAGGGATATATGATATATGAATGAGAATGAGATCAGCAGGTATCTATTTATATTATGCATGCAGAAGTATAGCATGATTAGCATAACCCTCTCACACTGTTAGAGCAATATCTGTGTCTAGACTTCATTAAAAAGTCGGCAAGATCTGAATGGACAGAGATGTACCATTAGGTCTGCTGAGCCACCAGAGATAGATGATTATTTCTGTAGTGACAGAAATAGACTGCAGAGTACAGAAATAATCTGAGTGTAACATACATATCCTCTCTCCCCCTCCCCACCTCTCTTTCTCTCTCTCTTTCTCAGCTGGGGAGGAATAGATTGGTATCTTTGAGTTTCCTAGGTCACTTCTGGTCAAGCATAGATTGATTTAAACTAAGCCTCTCAAAGACTTACAATCCAGTTTGCACTCAGGTGATCAAACTTTGAAACTACCTATTTGAGAATGTAGTTGAAAATATAGTGATACTACTTAGCTTGCAAAGACCTTTTAGCTTTTGAACTTTAAAGTTTCTGATGAATGCAAGGAATCATTTCCCCAGAAACATGCACATATATATTCATACCAATCTGGGGTATATATGGACCTTTTGATATTTGTCACTGGGTCCTGTGAACCACTTCATGATCCTAAAAAGTACGTTGTTTACCCTAGCGTCAAACTACTTCAATTGTGTGCATGAATTGAGCCAAAAAAATGTATGTATGATTGAGCTATCCAAAATTCATATGCATTTATTGGCCTGGCCCAGTGGCTTACGCCTGTAATCCCAACACTTTGGGAGGCCGAGGTGGGTGGATCACGAGGTCAAGAGATCAAGACCGTCCTGGCCAACATGGTGAAACCCCATCTCTACTAAAAATATAAAAATTAGCTGGGCATAGTGACATGCACCTGTAGTCCCAGCGACTTGGGAGGCTGAGGCAGGAGAATTGCTTGAACCTGAGAGGCAGAGGTTGTAGTGAACCAAGATTGTGCCACTGCACTCCAGCCTGACGCCTGGTGACAGAGCAAGACTCTGTCTCAAAAAAAAAAAAAATCTTGTTCATTTATCATATCCTTTCATGAATTCAAAGGGACCTGCAAAAAGATGTTGTACTACCTGTGAACTTTCCTTTACACCATTCACCAAAGGAAGTCCTCATTGCTTTCTGAATTCATTGGTTCCTATACATGCTATATTGGGCAATATTCTGTGGAGTCAACTCTCTTATTGCTTCATAGTGGAAGAATCAAATATTGCGTCTCTCCCTGGTGGCTCAGCAGACCTGATGGGTAAATCTCTGTCCATCTTCCATGTCTTTCCAAAGGCAGCATGTTATCTTTACCGTGATTTTTACTTTAGGACACTTAGTACACACTATCACTAACCTACTCAGACTGCCAGATATCCTCAAGCCTGGCTGGAAAGAGGGGAATAGCATCAAAGGTATTGATGCTTGTCCCAATGATGAGGGCAAACATGCTTGTGATGCCTATGAAGGGAGAACCAGCCTACTAAATTCCCGGGGCCCCAGATACTGTCAGATCATTGTTTTTGCCCTTCCCTTGGCAGAACCTCATTGCTGTATCTCTCCATGGGGGTGGACTAGATGGGTGGACTAGCTACCAGAGCCTCCTTATTGGAGAAGTATTCCTTGCTTAAGGAAACTTGGATTTGCCAAGGCTCTTGAAAGCCTGGGGGTTTTTACGCTAAACATAGTATCTAATTAGACAGCTCTAAAAACTTCTTGAGTCAGCATATCTTTTGCTGTTGCTGCAATAGAACCCTCATAAACTTTCTTGTTCCAGATGCTTTCTCTTAATTAACAGACATCAGCCTTTGTTCTGCCTTTTTACTGTGGAGCGGATTTCCTGACAGCCACTCCCATCTATCTCTGGCTTAATTTTAGAATGTGTGCAGCCTTTCCCTTAAAATCTCTGATGACTGGAGCCTAGGGTTCTGTCATGTCACTTTTTTTGTAAATAAAGCTTAATCACTAATGAATTTCTGTAATATTCTGTGAATTCTCATCTTCCTTATGAGACTGGCCACTATCTGGAAATGATTGTAGATAAAGGTGATTGTGGTTTTAAATGTGGGGAAGGTGGCAGGTAGGACATGTGTAAAATGACATCCAGGCAGTTGAAGAAATGACACTCAGTCTTGGCATAAAGAATAGGTCTAGAACCTGGATGTGGCCATGTGTGCCTATAGTCCCAGCTACTGGAGAGGCTGAGGTGGGAGGATCACTTGAAGTCAGGAGTTCAAGGCTAGCCTGGGCAAGATAGTGAGACGTTGTCTAATAAAACTTTAAAGATTAAAAAACAGTAAAATTTAAGGAGGAGTGGAACAAGATAGCTGAACAAAGACCTTCAGAAATCATTGCCCCCACATCCCTACAGGAACACCAGATTGAACAACTATTCACAAAACAAAGCACCTTTGTAAGAACCAAAATCCAGGTGAGTGACCACACTACCTGCTTTTAACATCATGTTAAGTAAAAAGGCACTGAAGAGGGTAGGAAAGAGTTTTGAATTTCCTGTACCACTCTACCCCTCCCCTGCCAGCAGCACATACTGAAGAATGAATCACAGTTTCTTAATAGCAGAATTGATCAAGCAGAAGAAAGAATTAATGAACTTGAAGACAGGCTATTTGAAATATACACACTCAGAGGAGACAAAAGAAAAAAGTAAAAAAGAATGAAGTATACCCACAGGATCTACAAAATAACCTTAAAAGGGGAAATCCAAGAGTTATTGGCCTTAAAGAGGAGGTGGACAGAGAGATTAGGATAGAAAGTTTATTTAAAGGGATAATAACAGAAAACTTCCCAAACCTAAAGAAAGATATCAGTATTCAAGTACAAGAAAGTTGTAGAACACCAAGCAGATTTAACTTAAATAAGATTACCTCAAGACATTTAATAATCAAACTCCCAAAAGTCTAGGACAAAGAAAGGATCTTAAAAGGAGCAAGAGAAAAGGAACAAATAACACACAAAGGAGTTCCAATATGTCTAGCAGCAGACTTCTCAGTGAAAACCTTCCAGGTCTGAAGAGTGTCGTGACATATAGTGCTGAAAGAAAAACACTTTTTATCCTAAAGTAGTATATCCATTGGAAATATCCTTCAAACCTGAAGGAGAAATAAAGACTTTCCCAGATGAACAAAAACTGAGGGATTTACTCAACACCAGACCTGTCTAGACAAGAAATGCTAAAGGGAGTTCTTTAATTTGAAAGAAAAGGATGTTAATGAGCAGTAAGAGAACATCAATGTACAAAACTCACTGGTAATAGTAAGTACCCCGAAAAGCAGAGAATATCACAACACTGTAATTGTGGTATGTAAACTACTCATATCTTGAGTAGAAAGACTAAAAAATAAACCTATCAAAACTAATAACTACAATACCTGTTCAATAAATAGATACAACAAAAAGTAAAAAAGTGGAGAGATGAAGTTAAAGTGTAGAGTTTTTATTAGTTTTCCCTTTGCTTGTTTGTTTATGTAATTAGCATTAAGTTGCCATCAGTTTAAAAAATGGGTTATAAGATGTCATTTGCACACCTTATAGTAACCTCAAATAAAACAACATACAGCAGATACATAAAAAATTAAAAGCAAGACATTAAAACATATCACCAGAGAAAATCACCTTCACTAAAAGGAAGACAGGAAGGAAGGAAAGAAGGAAGAGAAGACACCAAACAACCAGAAAACAACAAACAAAATTGCAGGAGTAAGTCTTTACTGTCAATAATAACATTGAATGTAAATGGACTAAACTTTCCAATCAAAAGACATAGAGTGGCTGAATGGATAAAAAACCAAGACCCAATGATCTATTGCCTGCAAGAAACATGCTTTACCATTAAGAAGCACACTGTAATCCATAAAAGTTCTTGTAGTTATTATTTTTTATAGGTTCAGCTTTTAGTTTTTCTATTTCAGATACGAATAGTTTACACACCACAATTACAGTGTTATAATTTCTGTGTTTTTCTAGGTACTTATTACAAGTCAGTTTCCACTCCTGATCTGGAGTTTCTACTCCAGATCTTAGTAGTTCAC